AGGTGAAGCCACAATGTGAGACATTCTACAACTGCCTTGGACTCCAAAAAAAAATCAACGTCACGGAGGAAAGAAAAAAGGTAGGTGGACTTGTTTAGATTATAAAACAGCAATTTTCAACCGCTGTGCTGCAGTGGGCACACTAGTGTGCCACAAGAATTTTAAAAACATGCAATACCTATTTGGTCGGGGCACTGACCTCTTTTCCTTTAGATTGCCAAATTTAAAAAATGGTAACAGCCAGCACTGACCTTTCCCTTAAACTGCCAAATTTAAAAAATGATAACAGTCAACATAATAATCGCCATCCGGTGTAAATGAATCAAAATTATAACCTTTTTCTGTTTGTTAGATCGGCAATGCATTTGGATGCGATGCTTTCAGATTCCCTTCCACTTGTGCGAATCTGTGACCCCTTCGGGAAGGGGTTACCTACCTATTCAATGGGGATGGAATGGAAGTGGAGGCTGCCATTAGCTGGGTTTGGGGGTATACATGAAACTGTCACAACCAAAGGCACACTCCCTGCTGTGGGGAAGGGTCTCTGGGCTGTACTGCCAGGCACAGGAAACGGTGTGACTCTTAAAACAATGAAGGCCACACCCACCTGCTCTGCAACACCCGAGACTGACTCATGTGAACTCCTGAAACAGAAAACAAGGAAAAACAAATTAAAGCCAAGACCCACTGCTAGTGAGGGAATTATTCTAAAGGTACAAAAGCGCTTTAAGTGCTGGGACACTTGCTCTCTTTCAAACAAATATGGTTCAGTCTCCGTAGAGACTGTCAAAAATTGCCAATGCCGACTATATTTCAAGTCGTCACGGCGGGGTATTGGGAAAAGTTTTCAATTAGCAATAATCGCGCCTCGGATAAACCTCATTGGCTACGATACTGCCACTGCGCAAAGCTGGCGGCCATACTCCAGAGCTACACTCCCCGAAGGATGGCAACGGCTTTTCACTGAGGGTGAGCGACCGCCAGTGCGTGCGTGGATCTGACGCGTTCCCCTTGGAGCAGTTACATGCGAGAACCCGTAGGCATGGGGAGCTTCTCGTTTTGGGATCATCTCGCGTGGAAGGTTCAGATTTTGGAAGCGAGCTTACGTTCGCTGGGGATGCTGGGGAATTTTATGCAAATCACCATAATGTCACAGACCTGACGGTACGGACTCGAATTTTGGGGGAAAAACGTGAGCTGGGAAGGCAGCGACAGCGAAGACGAACCGAAAGAGCAACAAGTAGCTGGGGATGCGGGTGCACAGGCCTGGGGCGGAGGCTGGATGAAGCATTTCCACAGAAGTTTTAAACGTTAGCGTGGCAAGGACAGGGAACAACGTGGACGACACAGAACAGGAACAACAAAGCACTTTTCATGCATAAACACTTGGGTAATTCTAACCACCCCGTAAAAGTTAACAAACTTACTAACTAAAGTACAGATATATAGAAAGCTTACCAGTGACGAGACCTGTAACTGCTCGCAGCTGCGTAAAAGAAAAAAAAAAAAAGTTCTGTTTTTCTCAACTGCAATATTCAGTCTCCGTAGAGACCGTCAAAAATTGCCAATGCCGACTATATTTCAAGTCGTCACGGCGGGGTATTGGGAAAAGTTTTCAATTAGCAATAATCGCGCCTCGGATAAACCTCATTGGCTACGATACTGCCACTGCGCAAAGCTACCGAGCACGCCCCATGCTCATCATCCCCAATAAGCAAGGTTCCTAATTCAAAGAGGCGAGTTTGCGTCTCATGGGGAAACCTTTAATTATTGTTCGTTTGAAAATCACACAACCATATTAAGATCTCTCGAAAATGCAGAGGCAGTTTCTGAAGATTTTCTTGCTTCATTTCTGTTGACTACATTTGGGTGGAGAGTGAAGCAAAGCATTATGGGAGGGAACATGTCAGCAACCTAACGCTGAGTATGAATTGTGGCGGATGAGAAATGGGCTCAACGTCAGGGTACTGTTCACTTGACTCCCGATTGACAGTGTAACTATCCTCTCCAAAATAATTTTTTAATGCGGTAAAAAATATATAACATAAAAATTACCATTTTAACCATTTTTAAGTGTACAGTTCAGTAGCATCAAGGACATTTACATTGTTTGCAACCATCACTGTTATATATAGCTACAGAACTTTTCCATCATCCCAGACTGAAACTCTGTACCCATTAAACGCTGCTGACTCTCCATTGCTCCTTCTCCCAGCCCTTGGCAACCTCTATTCTACTTTCTGTCTCTATGAATTTGATTATTCTAAGTACCTCATATAAGCAGAATCCGCCAATATTTGACCTTTTGTGTCTGGCTTGGTTCATATCATACTGTTTTTAAGGTCCATCTATGTTGTAGTATATTTCAGAATTTCATCCTTTTTTATGACTGACTAATATTCTAATATATGGAATGTTATTATCCATTCATTCTACAATAGGCATGCATGCATTGCTTCTACCTTTGCACTATTATGAATCATGCTCCTATAAACACCGGCGTACAAGTATCGGTTTGAGTCCCTGTTTTCAATTCTTTTGCGTATATACCTACGAGTGGAATTTCTGGATCAGATACTACTTCTAAGTTTAATATGAAAGAGTTTTCTGTGGACATCTTAGTTTAGAAGAGAGAGGCTGAAAGAAAGAAGCTATTGCCACGGAAACGTTCACAGTTCATGAAGTCCAAAGTAACTTCATTGCCTGTTTTCCCTCTGCAAGTGGAAAGCTGTTAGAAACCACTATCTGGATTTGTTTCCTCCCTGAACTATATTCTCCAAAATACTTTTGGTTTTTGCTACTCACGAAGATGCGAATAGTAGTCTCTGAGAAAGTGGCATTCTCCTCAACATTTTATTATAAAAATTTTCAAACATGAGACATTTAAAATATTGCTCAATGAGAAACATCAATGAGAGAGAATATTGATTAGCTGCCTCCTGCATGTCCCCCACTGGGGAATTGAACTGGCGACCTCCTGGTGCATGGGTTGATGCTCAACCACCAAGCCACACTGGCCAGGCTAAAAAGGGACATCTTTTTTTTTTTTTTTTTTTTTTTTTTATCCTCACCCAAGGACATTTTTCCATTTTTTGTTCAGACAGAGTGGGAGGGAGAGAGAGGAAGAGAGAGAGAGAAACATCGACGTGAAAGGGACACATCCAGTGGCTGCCACCCACACGACCAACCAGGGCCGGGGACAAACTGCAATCGAGGCACACGCCCTTAGCGGGAACCGAACCCGGATCTCTCTGGAACATAGGCCAATGCTCTAACCGCTGAGCCAAACCGGCCAGGGCAAAAGGGAATCTTTAAAAGGCTTGCATGATGCTGATGTGTAGTTAATTTTTTCCCCAGCCATGTGCCAGGGTAAGAAAAACCAGCAGAAAAAAATAAAACATTAACAATTTGATTAATTTAGGTGAATTTGCCCCAGCCGGTTTGGCTCAATGGTTAAAGCGTAGGCCCGCGGACCAATGAGCCGCCGGTTCGATTCAGGTCAAGGGCACGTGCCTCAGTTGTGGTTCATTCTGGCCCTGCTTGGGTTGTGCAGGAGGCAGCCGGTTGTTATAGCTCTGTCACATTGATGTTTCTCTCTGTCTCCCTCCCTCCCACTCTTATCTGATAATAAGTAAAAAAATATCCTCGGGTGAGGAATAAAAATAAAATAAAATAATTCAGATCAAGGACTTAGTCTTTAATTCTAGGGTTATTCAAAGAACTCAGCCCTTGAGAATGTCTTGATTGGGTGGCTCATTACATCCTGTCAGTAGCTATCAAAGGAAATTGTGTTTCACCAGCTGTCTTGGATGACTTCATCCTCCTCACATGACTTTCCAGCACTGAGAAAAATGGAAAACAACTAACTTCTCCTCAGAACATGATTCTTTGGGGCCTAAACGCACAATAGTTGTGCATTCCTAGCATCTCTATTAATGATGCTCATTCCAGTTGGAGAACTGAAGAAAAGAACATGGGGTTTCAAACCTTTCATGATAAAATCTGGCTAGGACAGGAGGAATGTCACTTTTGGGCAATTCCGTGGTTTTGATCAAATACCCATGCGTGCAAAAAACATTCTGGGTTATAGTTGTTTTGACTTAGTAAACATTTCCAGTCTCTATTTTGTTCCTTTCTCTTAGCCAGTGTGGACAGGTTAAGGAAGACACAAAAGGCTGTCATGTCAGGTGATTCAGCCTAGTGACCTATCCCAGCTGTTGCTGGAAGCTCTGCTCCCAAACTACTAAACTCGGTTACTTTCCCAATATTTACCTCTTTATATGCAATGAGTGGACCAGGAGTCCAGCTTCCATACTATTCCTCTGGGTTTTGGTTCATCCTAAACTGGGGGAAGTGGTTCCTTATGTGCTCTTCAAGGTCCCTGCTAGCTGCCCTTTAATCATGTCCTAAAAGAACAAAGTGATTGGTATCTTATTTAGGTGATGCTGCAGAGCAGCAGTTCTCACAGACTACACATTTGAAACAACTGGGAAATTTGTAAACTGACTTGATGCCCAGGAGTTTCCCCAGACCAATTAAATCAATCTCTAGAGGTGAGAACCAGGCATTGTGTTGGTCAATTTAATAAAAACACAAGTTAGAAAATAAAATTGGAGAAGCCAAATGGGTAAACACATTAGTCTCTGTGTATTAGATTTGGCTTTCATTGTTCATTAATACGTAAAAACATCAAATTTTCAGGTACTTGTGAATGTACTTCTTGACAACCCACAGCAAGGTGGGAGCTTGATTCTGTCACTGATTATACACAGTGACCTTGAGGAAAAATCAAACCTAACACCATTATTAAGGTTTCTATCTTAGGAGACAATGAATGCCTAAGTTAGCGCTGTTTGGATGGAGGATTTTGCACTCAGGACATTGGTGGGACGCTCTAAATGCTTCTCAGAGAATCTGACAATGTATTTATTGGCTTAGGTGGCAGCAGCACATCGCGGACCACGGTTCAAAACCTCTGACCAGGAAGAGCAGAAGACAGAGGGCGCCAACTAGACAATCTGGTCATCTCAACTGTGAAACCTAAAAATTGTGGGACTTGTAGTTTTTGTGTTATTCACGCTTCGTAAACTACATTTCCCAAAATGCCAATGTAGCCGGTCAGTCCCACTGTCGGACTTGAAGTGTTCCTTAAGCTGTGAAAGGTAAGTGTGCTCAGTGAGGGTTGCGGGGTTTCTAGAAGTTGTGGGTGTCTTGAGAGGGGTTACATTTCTCCTCTTTGCCCTTTGGTGGGACCTGGGGGAGAGCAGCTGGTCTAACAGAGTGTGTTTTCAACAGGGTTTCCCAAGCCCTTTGGTCTCAGCAATTAGGACTCTGTTTAGCTGTTCACGTGTTGCTGAGGCATGTCAAGGAGAAATCGGGGTCCTGAACCCAGATCTGGAAACCCAAGCACAAAGTAATGTTGACCTCCCAGGCCGTCGTGGCTCCGGGGTTAGAGTGTGGGCCTGAGCACCGGAGGGTCCTGGGTTTGATTCCTGGTCAAGGGCACGTACCTGGGTTGCAGTTTCTATCCCTGGCCCCAGTTGGGGTGTGTGCAGGAGGCAACCAATCACTGTCTTTCTCACATGGATGTTTCTCTCTGCCTCCTTCCTCCCCCCTCCACTCTCTAAAAATTAATGGAAAAAATATTCGTAGGATTAACAACAACAAAATAATAATGTTTACATATGGGGTGCGTTATTACTAGAGAATTTCTGCATTCTATGAAATAATGCCAATGCCTTGTTTTTACAGGTAGAAAAGCAGACACGCAGGGGTAAATGTCTTGCCAGGTCTCACTACTTTGCTTTGTGCAAGTAGCAGTTTGCAGTTGACAGTAAACTAATAGAATATGGGGACAATGAAAAATAAAAGGTGTCTGTGTGTTTAATTATATTAGTAAAATTAAAAGCCTGAGCAACAACTTGATCAACACCTGGCATACTAGAATTCAAATGTGCTTTCCTTCACATATGAAGAAATAAGATAATTCTAATTTATAAAATGGGATGTAGGTTTATGGAACACAATTTCCCAAGGGATGGTGTTAACTAAAATATATATTCCTCTGATAGAGACATCTTTAGATGTAGTCATAGATGGAGTAACAATGAGGTATTAAGGGATTTAAAGGATATTGGGGAGAGCCATTAACCTCTCGAAGTTTATAAGGAATTCAGTTCTGAACAGCTGGGTGTTACTGGGAGAGAAATAATAGGCTTTAGGTTATGCTGCTTTATCAATTTTTACTTTATCCTCCCTCCTTTATTTTTCTATTCCATGGACCCATCACTCAGCTTCAATAATGAACAACTCTTGGTTAATCTTGTTTCATTTATATACTCCTATCTACTCCACCCCCCCCATATTATTTTGAAGCAAATCTACCTAGATATATCATTTCATCTAAATATTGAAATATGTAACTCTGTAGGATGAGTACTTTTTATTTTTATTTTTCTTAATCCTTACTTGATATTTTCCCATTGATTTTATTTGAGATAGAGTGGAATAGGGAAGGAGGGAGAGAAAGAGAGAAACATTGATGTGAGAGAGAGAGACATCAATTGATTGCCTCCTGCACAACCCTGACCAGGTCGGGGTATCGCAACCCAGGTATGTGCCCTTGACCAGGAATTAAACCCAACACCCTTTGGTCTGAGGGCCTATGCTCTAACTGCTGAGCCAAATTGGCCAGGGCAGATGAGGATTTTTTTTTTTATCCTCACCCAAGGACATTTTTGCATTTATCTTCAGATAGAGTAGGAGGGAGAGAGGGGGGAAGAGAGAGAGAGAGAGAGAGAAACATTGATGTGAAAGGGACACATCGAGTGGTTGACACCTGCAAGACCCAACCAGGGCCAGAGACAAACTGCAACCGAGGTACATGCCCTTAGCGGGAACGGAACCCGAGTCTCTCTGGACCACAGGCCAACGCTCTAACTGCTGACCCAAACCGGCCAGGGCTCTAATAGTCTTATATTAAGTTTGTTTGGATCAGGATTCAAATAAGGCCCACATATTACAACCAGTTGGTCTTTAAATCTCTTTTCATCTGTATAATTCCCCCTTTATTTATTTATTTATTTATTTATTTATTTATTTAATCCTCACTCAAGGACATTTTTCGATATTTTGTTCAGATAGAGTGGGAGGGAGAGAGAAACATCAATGTGAAAGGGACACATCAAGTGGTTGCCACCCACACAACCCAACCAGGGCTGGGAACAAACTGCAACCGAGGTATGTGCCCTTAGTGAGAACTGAACCCAGGTCTCTCCAGACCACAGGCCAACGCTCTAACCGCTGAGCAAAACCAGCCAGTGCTAATTCCCCCTTTTTATTTCTGTATCTCTATCTCTTGTGACTTATGTGTTGAGAGAAACTGATTTGTCTATCCCGTAGAGGTTCCCAAAGTCTGGACTTTCCTGATTGACAAATGGTATCTTTATTTCCTATAATCATTAAGCTCTATAGACTAGATCAGAGTCAAGTTCAGTTTTTTTGCCAACACCGCATCTTGGGGATGGGAGTGCTCTTCCAAGAGTCTCCTAATTCTGGTTCTCTCTTTTGAAATGTTGATGCTCAGTGCCTAGCTCCTACTGTTGTTTTCCAGCTATAAAAATGAATGGAGTTCTGATACATTTTTCCTTCTTCCAGCTTCTGGCAACTACTAATCTACTTTCTGTCACTATAGATTTGCAAATTCTGGACATTTCATATAAGTGGAATCATATGATATTTGTCCTTTTGTGATTGGTTTCTTACACCTACCATAATTTTTTCATATTGTACCATATATCAGAAATTCATTCATTTTTATAGCTGAATAATATTCCATTGTGTGGGCAGACCACATTTTGTTTATCCGTTCATCAATTGATGTTGTTACCTTTGTTCAAAAAAAGAAAAACTGGCCCTGGCCGGTTTGGCTAAGCGATTAGGGCATCAGCCCATGGACCAGAGAGGCCTGGGTTTGGTTCCCACTAAGGGCACATACCTCAGTTGCAGTTTGTCCCCAGCCCTGATTGGGGTCGTGTGGGTGGCAGCCAGTCAGTGTGTCTCTCTCACATCGATGTTTCTTTCTCTCTCTTCCTCCCTCTCTCCTTCCAACTCTATCTGAAGATAAATGCAAAAAAGAAAAAGAAAAAACCAAAACAACAAAAAAAAGTTTCTAAAAAAACAAACAACCCTTGTCTCTCATAAGCTCACAGATACAGAGAACAGATTGGTGGTTGCCAAAGGTATGGGGGAGAGGGAGGAATGGGTAAAGGTAGTCAAAAAGTATAAAATCCAGCTATGAAATAAGTAAGTCATGGGGATATAATGTTCTGCATGGTGATTATAGTTAATAATAGTGTATTGCATATTTGAAAATTGCTAAGAGAGTAGATCTTAAAATTCCTCATCACAAAAAAATAAAATTGTAACTATGTGCGGTGACAGATGCAACTAAACTTATCGTGATCATTTCACAATATGTTGCACACCTGGAACTAATATGTTATATACTGATTATACACACATACATAAATACATAAGTCAGTTTTTTTACATGAGGTTTCTTTCTCTCCAGAATGAGGATGAACTTTGGGTTGACTTTCAGGGCAGCGAAAGGCTGCTGGACAGTGAACCTCAGCCAGCAGTGCTCACATGGATCCACTGGGTTATTTGTGCCACCAAGTCCTCCCGTGGACCCTGAGAAGGTCAAAGAATTACAGCGCTTCATCACCCTTTCCAAGAGACTCCTAGTGATGACCGGGGCAGGAATCTCCACGGAGTCAGGGATCCCAGACTACAGGTCAGAAAAGGTGGGACTTTATGCCCGCACTGACCGGAGGCCCATCCAGCACGGGGATTTTGTACGGAGTGCTCCAATCCGCCAGCGGTACTGGGCGAGAAACTTTGTGGGCTGGCCTCAGTTCTCCTCTCATCAGCCTAACCCTGCACACTGGGCTTTGAGCAACTGGGAGAGACTTGGAAAGCTGTACTGGTTGGTGACCCAAAACGTGGATGCCTTGCACACCAAGGCGGGGAGTCAGCGCCTAACGGAGCTCCACGGAAGCATGCACAGGTGCAGGAAAGTGTGCTTCGTAAGGGCAGGGGCCTCGGCTGTCTTGCTCACCGCTGTCTTCATTAGACCTTGAGAACAGGATTTGGGAGCAAGTTGTTTAATTTGGAGTTGATCCCAGCAAACTCAGTGAGGGAGTGGGGAACTGAATTGGGAAGGGGAGGAAAGCCAAAGAGGACAGGGTAATGAATGGGTTACTGCTTTGGGCAGTGGAGCTCAATCTACTGAGGGGCCCTCTGACTGTCGCAGTGGTTCTCAACTTTTCTAATGCCGTGACCCTTTTTTTTTTATATCTTACAAAATAGACTTTATTTTTTTATTTTTATTTTTTATTAATTAATTTGTTACAGATGTTTCTCCTTTTCCCCCCACTGATTCCCCCCTCCTCCTCCCTCCCTGCTCTTTCCCCAGTTTGTTGTCCATGTCCACTGTTCATGCATACATGTCTATAAGTTCTGTGGTTTATCTCTTCCCCACCACCCCCCTATTTAGGGGATTGTCTGTCTGTATCCCACGTCCGCGTCTCTGGGACTACCCCCTTCCTCAGACTGTTATGTTCATTATATTCCACAATAAGTGAGATCATATGAAACTTGTCTTTCTCTGTTTGGCTTGTTTCACTTAGGATGATACTTTCCAGGTCCCTCCATGTAGTCTCAGAGGATAAGAGATCTTTCTTTCTTACAGCTGCATAGTACTCCATTGTGTATATGTACCACAGCTTTTTTATCCATTCATCTACTGATGGACACTTAGGCTGTTTCCAGATCTTAGCTATTGTAAATAGTGCTGCTACAAACATGGGGGTACATATATTCTTTCTGACTGGTGTTTCAGGCTTCTTAGGGTATATTCCTAGAAGTGGGATCACTGGGTCAAATGGAAGTTCAATTTTTAATTTTTTGAGGTAACACCATATTGTTTTCCATAGTGGCTGCACCAGTCTGCATTCCCACCAGCAGTGTATTAGAGTCCCCTTTTCTGCAACCCTTGAATACAGTTCCTCATGTTGTTTGTGGGCGTATCTGCATGTGGCGGACCTGCCTGGAGACGGATAGAGGAGCGGTGTCTCGGTTCCTAAGACCATCGGAAATATGTTTTCCAATGGTCTTAGGCGACCCCTGTGAAAGGGTCATTCGACTCCGCCAAAGGGGTCGCGACCCACAGGTTGAGAACCGCTGGTCTAGAGCATGCTTCCAAATTCTCCTTGAACGTCAAGGAAGCTGGGGTGTTTATCCACCATCTCCCACCCCTCACTGGACAAAGATCACGCTTGGGGAATTAAATCCCTAACACTGACTTGCTCCTCTAGAGGCTTCCTCCACCACAGGAAGTTGCTTAAAAGAGAACTGTGTGCAATGGCCTCTAGCTGTCCTGAAAGGCTTTGAGCAGAGCGCCAACAGCATATGCCACAAACTGCTGCGTGTCTGGTCCCTAGACACATAGAACACAGCATAGCCTGGCATGTAGTCAGAACCCAATAAATATTGCTGGAATGAATACATGCAGCCCCGCAATAACTTGTAGCTAATTGGAGACCACTGCCTCATCTTTAAGCCCCAGAGATCCTCCTGCCAGTCGTAAAATATTTATTGGGTGCCTACAACCTGTGGTGTGTACTGATGTGCTCCTTGGTGTGGAGGGATCAAAACCAAAGTATAAAAGTTGGCCTACTTTATATGTGAGAACTTTGTGATCTGTTTGGGGGAGGCCCAAAAATAACATTTAATGACGACTCCACAGGTGATTGTTAAATTGTGTGGTCCCGCACTGGCCAGTTTGGCTCAGCGGTTGAGTGTCAGCCTGCAGACCAGAGAGTCCTGGGTTCGGTTCCCGCGAGGGGCACATACCACCAAAAAAAAAAAATTGTGTGGTCCTGGACAGACATACTTTACAAGTTTGGAGAAACAGATACAGTAAGGATTGGAGGAATCAGGAAAGCTTTTATGGGTAAGGTGGGGCTTGAGACTGGCTGAGATTTGATTAGGCAAAGGAGGGGAAAGAGAGTTTTCTAAATGAAAGGAGTTTGTATATCCCAGAAGAGACTAGTCTGGCCTCTGGGGAGACTAGTATGAAATCAGATGTCTGGGAAGGCTAGACCCAACTCACGGGTGCATCTGAAAATCATGCAGTGCAATTTGGGTCTGTTGTGAGACCAAAGGGGACTATTAGTGGTTTCTGAATAAGAAAGCAACATGATAAAAATAGCATTTGAGGAAGGAGAGACAGGATTAGAAAGACTAGCTCAGAGTCAACCTCAAGGCCCCAGACTAAGGTGACGGCAGGGGAGTGAGAGAACCAATGATGGCTATGGGTCCATTTTAAAACTTTATTTTTTATTTTTATTTTTGGTACATGCCCCTAGCTGGAACCGAACCCCAGACTCTCTGGTCTGCAGGCCGACACTCCAACCTCTGAGCCAAACCAGCCAGGGCAAAACTTTTTTTTTTTAATGTCAAACATCTACAAAAGTAAACAGTATAATGAACTTCCATATACCATTACCCAGATTCAAAGATTTTATCATGTCTACTTTATCCCTTTTCTCCCTGTCTCTTCTGACACATTTTTTTTTTGGTACATGCCTCTAGTGGGAACCGAACCTGGGACTCTCTGGTCCGCAGGCTGATGCTCCAACCGCTGAGCCAAATTGGCCAGGGCTCTGACACATTTTTTAAACAAATCCAAGACTTCTTATCAATGCAGAGGGTGCCTTTCAACATAATCTGATGGTTGACTGGATAGAGTAAAAGGAATAACAAGTTTTCCCCAAGGGTTTCAGTCCAAGTAACTGAAGAAATGATGGTGATGGAGAAGTGGGGGTGGGGGCACATGTGGTTGAAGACAAGGTAAACCTGACAGGTCGGTCGGTCAGGATTTGGAATTGGACTCCAGTTTGGGAGAGAGCAGGAGTGGAGTCCTATGCAGAGGAGGAAACCATTAGCATAGAGGCACTGAGGTGTGAAAACAGTCCCTAAGGTAGGGATGTAGAAAGAAAACAAGCTGGAGGACTGAGCAGAGGAGGACCCAGCTAAATAATCTTTTGTTCTTTCTTTCAACAACTATTTAGTGGGCAGTGTTCTAATGGTGGGCACAGGGCAGTGGTCACGAGCAGTGGTCTTGCCAAAAGAGGGCAAGACTCGAAATTCTTGACCTCATGGAGCTCATGTTCTGGTGATTAAAGAGGTGACGAGAACCGGAAGGCACCGTGTCAGAGATGTCAAGGGGACAAAGTACTTTAAAGAAAGGATGGTGATGGATAGCGACAATTCCAGATGAGGACAGCAGGGGATGGAGGGGAAAACTGGTTTTGGCACTAAGGAAATCTTGTGGTAAAGAATCTGCAGTCTGTTAAGGATAGAAATGAGCTGGCAGAAGGTTAAGCAGGGAGTGTTTGGTAAGGAAACAGATATACATTACTTGTCCCAGGAGGTTGACAGCGGAAGGAAGGTGAGAAACGGTGGTAGCTAAAGAGGTCATGAAAAGACATTCCTAAAACCAGGTGATGGGAAAAGGAAGTGATGGTGGAGGGACTAAGTACAGTTGGGGAGGAACCTTCATTGGCAGTATGTACCTCCCCAGGATAGACCGTTCAGCTGGCCTCCTCTTTGGTTTCAGGGTCCTCTGCTTGGATTGTGGTGAACAGACTCCCCGTGGGGCGTTGCAGGAGCGTTTTGAAGTCCTGAACCCCACCTGGAGTGCTGAGGCCCACGGCCTGGCTCCCGACGGCGACGTCTTCCTTACAGAGGAGCAGGTGCGGAGTTTTCAGGTCGCACCCTGTGCTCGATGTGGAGGCCCCCTGAAACCAGATGTAGTTTTCTTTGGGGACACAGTGAACTCCGACAAGGTCGACTTTGTGCACAGGCGTGTCAAAGAAGCCGACTCTCTCTTGGTGGTGGGATCGTCCTTACAGGTATCTGACTTGGTCAGGGTGGCCAGCGCCCCTTTTGCACGGCTCTCTGGGGCTCCCTGTTTGGTTTCTCTCTTCCTGCATCTCGAGTCTCTTACCGGGGCCTTCTCCTCACACAGGTGTACTCAGGTTACAGGTTTATCCTCACTGCCCGGGAGAAGAAGTTACCAATTGCAATACTGAACATTGGGCCCACTCGGTCGGATAACTTGGCGTGTCTGAAACTGGATTCTCGTTGTGGGGAGTTGCTGCCTTTAATAGACCCACACTGACCACAGCCTGATGTTCCTGAGCCAGAAGCTGGGGCTTTCACTGTATCCTGCTGCTAAAGGTAAATGCCTTCTCAGAGAGCAATTCCAGTTTCCATTCATCCGAGAGCACTGACAAAGTATACAAGGTTCTAGGCTTCTTAATGTGTGGCCATTTTTTTTTTTTTTTTTAATCCTCACCCGAGGACATTTTTCTATTTTTTGCACAGATAGAGTGGGAGGAAGAGCGAGAGAGAGGGAAACATCGAAGTGAAAGGGACACATCGAGTGGCTGCCACCCACATGACCAACCAGGGCCGGGGACAAACTGCAACCGAGGTACATGCCCTTAGCGGGAACCGAACCCAGGTCTCTCCAGACCGCAGGCAGATGCTCTAACCGCTGAACCAAACCGGCCAGGGCAATGTGTGGCCATTTTTTAAAAATTTTTTTAATTGATTTTAGAGAGACAGGAAGGGAGAAGGAGAGACAAGAGAGAAACATTGATCGACTGTCTCCCATACTTGCCCCAACTGGGGATCGAACCGGCCACTTTACGATACACCGGATGACGCTCACCAACCCACACGGGCCAGGTCATGTGTGGCCATTCTTATTTATTTATTCCTCACTCAAGGATTTTTTTCCATTTATCATCAGATAGAGTGGGAGGGAGGGGGAGAGAGGGAGAGAGAGAGAGAGAAACACTGATGTAATAGAGCCACATCGACTGGTTGCCTCCTACATGACCCAACCAGGGCCGGGATGAACCGCAAGGAAGGTACATGCCCTTGACTGGAATGAAACCCATGACTCATTGGTCCAGGGGCTGATGCTGTACCGCTGAGCCAAATCGGCCAGGGCTTGACTTATTTTTTAATGTACATTAAGGTATATTGTTTGAAAGGCTGTGGTTTTTCAAATTTTAGGCACACAGCTATTTAAAACGATGTTCCAAAATCCAGCATGACTTTTTCCTGTGTTTGTGAAAAATAACAGCTTTATTGAAATATAATTCGCCCTGGCCAGTTTGGCTCAGTGGTTGGAGCGTTGGCCTGCCGACCAGAGAGTCCCAGATTCGGTTCCCGCTAGGGGCACGTACCAAAAAAAAAGAGATATAATTCACATACCATGCATTTCACCCTTTAAAAGTATACAATTAAGTTTTTTTTAAGTACATTCACAAAGTTGTTCATTAATCACTACCATCTAATTTCAGGATATTTTCATCATCCCAAGAAGAAACCTCGTGCCTGTTAGCAGTCAATACCCATCCCCTTTGCCCCCCCCCCCCCCAATTCCTGGCAACAACTAATCTTTCTGTTTCTGCCTAGTCTAGACATTTCACATAGTATGTAGCCTTTTGTGTCTGGCTTTTCCATTTGATGTTTTCAAGGTTCATCTGTATGGTAGCATGTGTGAGTACTTTATATCTATTTTAATCTGTGAATAAAACCTGTTAAAAATATAAACAGTTTTATTGAGACATAATCACATATCATACATTTCACTCATTTAATGTGTACAATTTGTTTTTATTATATTCCTAAAAGAGTACAACTTTTATTTTTAAATAGACTTTATTTTATAGGGCAGTTTTAGGTTCATAGAATTGAGAGAAAGTGATGAGTTCCCATACACTACTTGCCCTGTACACTCACACAGCATTTATCGTTCACCTACTGAAGGACATCTTGGTTGCATCCAAGTTCTTGTTGATTATAAAAGCTCCTATAAATATCCGTATTCAGGTTTTTGTGTGGACATACATTTTCATCTCATTTGAGTAAATACCAAGAAGTGAGACTGTTGGATCGAATTATAAAAGTATGTTTCATTTTCTAAGAAACTGCCAAACTGTCTTCAAAAGTGGCAGTACCATTTGCATTGCCACCAGCAATGAATGAGAGTTCCCCTTTTAACAACCACTTTTTAAAAACTATTTTTTTTCTTTATATATATATTTTTTGGGGGGAGGGTACATGCCCCTAGTGGGAACCGAACCTGGGACTCTCTGGTCTGCAGGCCAACGCTCCAACCACTGAGCCAAACTGGCCAGGACTTAAAAAACCATTTTAACTGAACTGGCATTCAAAAAGTCCCCGTGGCACAAGCACTTTTTAACTAGTTTATTACTAGAACAACACATATTTATTATAGAAGTTTAGATGATGCAGATAAGAATATAATGTAGCCCTGGCCCGTTTGGCTCAGCAGTTAGAACATCGGCCCACCACAGACCAATGAGTGGAGGGTTTGATTCCGGTCAAGGGCATATACCTCAGTTGGAGTTCGTGCCCAGCTCTGGTTGGGGTCGTGCGGGAGGCAGCCACTCAATGTGTCCCTTACATGTCGATGTTTCTTTCTCCCCCCGCCAAAAAAAGAATATAATACAAATTACCCATAATCCCACCACAGAGATAACTGACGTTTAACATTCTGGTATAACTAAATTTGTTTTTACAAATATTGAATCATAGTGTTTTATTATACTCTATTTTATAGTAGCCATATTTACCTGTCCTCAATGCTTTGATTTTTTTGAATGGTGGGCTGATGTTCCCAATCATTTCCCCCACTCCACTCTTGGCTTATTTTGGCATTGATTCGTTTCATTTCTTTTCAGATCCCTAAGGATTCATCCCTTCTCCCTTTAACTAATTGAAGCTCACTGAGTTCAGCCTGTAGAGAGCAGCAAACCAACATTTCTCTGCCAGCCTATCTTGGAACTGGGCAAGTTTCAGAGCCAAGGAGTTAAAATCTTTAGGCTGATGAGATTTGCCCCTGAAGAAAGACTTTTTCAAAGCAGCAGTTTCCCCTGATAAGAAAACTGCTTTCACTTCCTTTTTATCTCATCAGGCAGAAGAAATGGCCCAAGAAATATGTAGGTCAGAATGGTCTCTGGAGTACTAATACAGGGACCTCACTAATGTGTGTGGGGGGGAGGGGAGAGTAGTGGGAGAAGGAAATGATTTAATTTATAATTCTAAATGGTTAAATGTCTTTAATTGAACCATTTTGGTATTTTTTGAAAAGATGAACTGTGCTATGAATGAATGTTTTATTAACCAAGGAATAAAGAAATCATTTTTTAATAGCACACCAGGTATGTGGGCTGTATGTTTATATATATATTTTGTTGTTGTTAATCCTCACCCAAGGATATTTTCCCATTGATTTTGAGAGAGAAAGATCGATGTGAGAGAGACACATCAATTGGCTGCCTCCTGAATGACCTCAACTGAGGCTGGGGATCAAACCTGCAACCCAGGTATGTGCCCTTGACTGGGAATTGAACCCGAGACCCTTTGGTTCACAAACCGACATTTTTTTTCCTTTATTGAATTTTAGAGAGAGAGAGAAACTGAGAGAGGGAGAGAGAAACATGGATGAGCGAGAACATCGATTGGCCACCTCCTGCATGCCCCCCACTGGGGATCGGGCCCACAACCTGGGCATGTGTCCTGACCAGGAACCAAACCAGTGACCTCTTGGTGCATGGGTCGATGCCCAACCACTGAGCCACACCGGCCGGACACAAACCGACATTCTAACTGCTGAGCCAAACCGGCCAGGGCCACGTTTATATTTTTTAATCAGCTCAAAGTAAATGCAACTTTATGACATGGTTCTTTACAGATTTCTGCTTCATTTCAGCCAGAATGAGACACCTGCCTTAAACCTGGTCTGTAGAGAGGAAACAGTGAATTCCCAAGGGGGATATTAAATTGATTTGTTTCTGCTGGGGAAAGCAGCAAGGCTTGTTTGATTACTGTGTTAGCCAGAAAGAATCATTGTACCAGGCTAAGCTTTCTGCACAATCTCATCAAAAAGTGAAGCGGATGAAAGAATCATAGCCTATTCTGGGTAGTCTTTTGTCTACAATTAGGGCAAGCAATACACGTTCATCCTGCACCTTCCTAGGAAGCACAGTTCCGTTAACTGGGATAACCCAAGATCTTGAAAACAAAGAGTTCTTTTCACCTGCACAACTGTAGGTTTGCCCAGAGCCATTAATTAATTCTGAAGAGGTGTAAGGTTGTTGTAAATCTCATTCCAACTTTTTTGCAGATGGAGATCCTACGGTATTTTGAACCAGATTTACTCTATTATCCAAACTCGGTACAGTACCACTAATTGTATTCAATGTGGGTCTTTTGAATCTCAAGCCATTCTCATCCACAAATCTCATAAATGGTTACTGACAGACACTATATTAAGGAATTGAGGTGACAAAGAGAGTTTCTTACCCTCAAGTGGCTCACCAAGGATGTGCTATTTCCCCCACCCTTATTCTCTACCCAAAAATGAAAGAGTTACATAGAATCACAGAATGAGAAAATTTAGTCCATCTTCCATTTCTTTTTGAGGAAATTAAGATCCAGACTCATCGACGTATGTAGTTTCAGAGCCAAGACCAGAATCCAAGTAGATTTTCCTCCCAGTTCTTTTCTTCTTAAACAATGCCTCTCATTTGCAGATTATGGTTAGAAGGAAGTCAGCCTGAATAGGAGCAGAAGTCAGGGTTACACCTGGCCAAGGAGACCAGGAATGGTTAAATGTGGGCAGTGGAGAGAGTAGGTGAGGTTGCCAGGGAGAGAAGGCAGACTCTTCCATCACCTTATGTTGGCACGATTCATGAAACTAAGTTTTGAGGGCCTCAGGAATGTTCCTTGTGTTCATATTTCCTCCTGAGATGGAGTTCTTTCCAAAAAATTTGACTCAAGAGGAACTTGGTATTTCCTGAAGTTGATGGTTCTCATGTCTCTTTACTTTACAGCTTTAACTTTCTGCCAGCATGGCAGTTCCTAGCCCACTATAAGTGCCCTTGGTTGGAACAATAAACATCTTCTAGTGAGCACTATCTGTCACCACCCTGGGTACATGGTTCTAACTGCTTAAGCCCAGCTGTGGACGATTTTTGGTCAGACTCTCCCTCGGTTGCTCCCAGTCCTGCTCTGCTATCAGTTTTAGTTAAGTAGGAGTCACAAAAGCAAATAGGTACATAACACTTGAAACCTCCTTCCCACTAACTCATTTTCTTTCTTATGCAGTCAGAAATTGAATCCTTGCCCTGGCCGGTGTGGCTCAGCGGTTGGATTGTCAGCCTGCGGTCCAGAGACACCTGGGTTCAGTTCCCGCTAAGGGCACGTACCTTGGTTGCAGTTTGTCCCCGGCCCTGGTTGAGTCGTGTGGGTGGCAACCACTCGATGTATCCCTCTCACGTCAATGTTTCTCTCTCTCCCTCCCATTCTATCTGAACAAAATATGGAAAAATGTCCTCGGGTGAGGATAAAAAAATAAAATAAATAAATTGAATCCTTCTCTCGCCTCTTTCTTAAATAACAGCATTACTGAGCACACTATATCCCAAGCACAGTGTGAAGCATTTTACAATACATTTGCTCAGTAAGAACCTCACAGATGTCTGGGCATGAATAAAGGTTAGTCTAAGTGAACACCAAACTTTTTCTGAGAGGATCAAAGGAAGGACTGATAAGAAATTCACCACTCCTGCCCGGCCAGTGTGGCTCAGTGGTTGAGCATCGACCAAGAGGTCGCAGGTTCTATTCCCGGTCAGGGCACATGCTCAGTTTGGGGGCCAAATCCTCTGTGTGGGGCATGCAGGTGGCGGCCAATCGATGTTCTCTCTCATCGATGTTTCCATCTCTCTCCCTCTCCCTCTCTCTCTAAAATCAATAAAGGAGAAGAAGAAAAAGAAAGAAAGAAATTCACCACTCCTAAGTCCCGTGACCAACTGTCTCAGTGACCAACTGTCCTGAGGGGTTTCCTGAAATACAGGACTTTCAGTGCTCAAACCAGGTTGAGGTGGTCACTAGGAACAGCACAGTCTGCCACCAGATATTAGTTAATTCCTGACATATTATTATTATTATTTTTTTTTTGTGGTATGTGCCCCTAGCGGGAACTGAACTGGGGACTCTCTGGTCCGCAGGCCGACACTCAACCACTGAGCCAAACTGGCCAGGGCTATTATTCTTGTTGAGAATTTTTTTCTTTATTGATTTTAGAGAGAGAGAGGAAGGGACAGGGATAGAAATATCAATGAGAGAGAACATCGATTGGCTGCCTCCTGCATGCCCCCCACTGGGTATTAAACTCATCCAAGAAAGAAGAATGTTTTTTCTTTTCCTCTCAATTTATTAGGAAAGGAATACAGTATGGAATTAAAACTCTTAGGGTACAGACTTGGATTTCCATCCATTTTTTGCTACTAGTTAGGTGAACTTGGGCAAGTTGTTTTATCTAATCTTCAGTCTTTTTATAAGTGAGGATAATTGTAGCTACCTCATTGGGTTGTTATGAAGATTAAACAGGGTAATGATGCTCGTGAAGCTCAAAGCAGGGCCTGGGCACACAGTAAACAAATGTCTGCCATTGTAATTAGGATCTGGGAGGAGGGCAGGATGGTGGAAAGGGAAGACATCATACCTGCCAAACCTTCTGTCCTATTTACTCCTTTAACTAGACCCGGAATTCTTCCCTAGAGCCACATCTTTCGCTGCATCTGTTTGTTTTTATTTTTTATTTTATTTATTATTCATTTTTTTGTGGTACATGCCCCCAGCAGAAACCGAACCCGGGACTCTGTGGTCCACAGGCCGATGCTCAACCGCTGAGCCAAACTGGCCAGTGCATGCACCTGTTTGTTTTTAAAAATTACAAAAGCCTTGCTTGGTGTAATACAGCCTTTCTACAGAAAATAAAAAGTGACTATCCTTCCTTATCCATTCCTTTGGGAAAAGAATATTTGTTAAACATTAACTACGCAACAAACACTGTAGGAAGCATTTTACAACGCATTGATTCACCTAACCCCTACAACCAACCCTAACTATGATTCTACACACTTTTATTACTTTTGAAAGATAACGATCCTGAAGCTTATGCAACTTGCCCAAAGGTCACCCAAGGTGACCAGATCGGCCCAGTTCCGAGCTCGCTTTCCCCTCATTAATGCTGCAGAACTCGGTAGGGTAACTGAGCAACTGTACTTGGGGAGGTAAGAAGGACAGGGCTCAAGAAACTTCCAGAAGTGACCCAAGCTAGGTCAGATGAATAGGCATTCCCCACACGGGAAAAGGGGGAGCATCCCAAACGGAAAGAACAAATGCAAAATCATGGAGGTCAAAGTTGCACATTCCTTCGCCTTTATTTTAAACCCTTGAAGGAGGGGTTGGGGATTCAAGTGTCCCTTGGCGCCGCCTAGAACTCACTCTCCTCTCTCCCTGACTATTCTTCCTTCTGGCCCCACCTTGATTCCCAGCACCCTAATTTCCCCGTCCCCTGTCCTCGGGGTATAAGCAATGTAGGCGTTACCAACCGGAAACTGGAAGAGAGAGCTGGGGGCGGAGAAGCGTGTGCACAGTGGCCAAGAGACCAGAGAGGGACGAACACGACTGGAAAGTGGGACCAAATGTCGCACGAACTAGTGCCCGCCTTCCTTTTCTACTCAACCCGCCCACTCTGTCCTTCGCGGGCCTTACCTCCCTAGGACGCCTCCTCAAGCGACCTTTACCAACCACTGTGCCCGCACTATGCCCCAGGGGGCGGGACCTGAGCCCGGAGGCGCGGAGTAGGCCGGAAGCGGAGCCTCTCTTCACCAATAGAAGAGAGGAGTGGAGAGTCACGTGGTCACCACACGCCCAATCACGTTTTCTATCCCGAAATCCCGGAGTTTGGCCCGCGGATTGACAGGGTTGGGCGCGGAGGATCGCATGATTCGAAAAGGTAAATACGGCCATGAGGGTTTTTTCCCCCGGGATCTGCGGCGACATCGTTGCTCCACACTGGATCTCCATTAAGCAATTATTTAATGAGCGTGTAATATGTGCTGAGCACTGTGACTGCTCTCTAACACTGATATAGTCTTGACTTTAAATTACTCTCAGTCCAGTATATTAATTTCATTTAAATCATCCCAGCCGTTGTTCTAGTGTTTCCCACATTCTGTTTCCTGTAATGAGCCCCCAGCAGATGCTCATGAAAAGATTACCTTTAACTTTTAATTTGTCCTCTCTTTCTCTCTTTCTCCTCTAACCCTTGGGATAATGAAAAAAAAAAAAAAAAAAGGAAGGAAGTTTTTAACGACAGAGAATATATATATATATGTGTATATATATATATATATATATATAATTTTTTTAAACGTTTATTGGTCTTTACTTTATGCTGAATTACTCCTGGACTATAAGTTTTTGTTTCTTCTGGGATATCTTTTTCTTCTGTGCAACCTCTTCTGGCTTATGAACAGTCTGCTGTTTTTCAGTAGGATCCTCTCAGTGTAGCAGGGAGAGCTCATGTGGGGGTTAATCTGCTCTACCCCCATCTCAGGAGCTTTGTTTACCTGCATGTGCTCAATGACCAGAGAATCTACATCTATAAACTCAAGCTCAGTCCTGCCTGTGTGGCTCAGTGGTTGAGTGTCAGCCCATGTACCAAAAGGTTGCTGGTTAGATTCTGGTGTGGGCACATGCCCAGGTTGTAGTCCTGACCCCCAGCGAGGGGCGTGCAGGAGGTGGCCCATCAATGTTTCTCTCTCACATTGATGTTTCTCTCTCTCTCTAAAAAAAATCAATAAAAACATTTAAAAAATTATATATATATATATTTTTTAAAAACAAACAAACAAAAAAAACACCTCACATTCAGCGTTGCTCTCTGCATTTTTAAGCATGTGCAGCAAAAACTCAGCACTTTTTTTGGACCACAGACCCTGTGTCCAGCCCCACTGGTTCACCTGGGCACTCTTACTAATTCCAGCTTTGTATCCATGGAAAGGCACACATTGCTTCTGTAAAGTGACGTCCTCAGATCTTGGTGGCTTTTCAACTATGCACACCTCTGATGGCGTGGGCAGTTTCCAGAGTGTTCTTAAAGTGAGCACGAAGATTTAAACCTCTTGATTTGCATGATTTTGTGGGGTTTTTCTGGGTCAAGTGAATAGTGAACCGTTTTCCGAGGTCACCTCTGGTGGCTTTTGGGAAGAGAGCAAGAGGATATTTTTAGAGCCCAGTTTGAGTACTCAGGTGACTCTGTTCCCTCTGTTGTTTTATTATTTAAAAAAAAAAAAAGTGGGACTAAGCATGTCTCCCAAAAATCTTACCTTTCTTTCATCCAAACCCTGGGGTGAGGGGAGGGGGTTGCTTTCAGTGTTTTTCCATTGAATGGATGAATGAAATGAGGGAGAAATTGTGCCAAAAGACAAATCCACACACACTTTTTTGCTGCCCATCACACACCCAGCAGTGGCTGCTGTTCTGTCAGCCTCCAGTGGTTTAAAACTGCTTAGTGGTGGCTTCTCATAGTCTGCAGTGTCCTTTCTCATTTTTGCTTCTCTACTTCAGTTCTGTTCTCTTCCCCTCCCCACTCTGTGATGAATTTCAGTGCCAGTGTAGTCATAAATCCAAGTAGAGAAAATTTGTAGAGTAGCGTAGTGGTTAAGGGCTCAGGCATCGTCACCAGGCAGATCTAGTCAAATCCTGACTGTGCTATTTGTTTGATCACAGGCAAGTGACTTCTCTGAGTTTTTAGTTTCTCATCCATAAAATAGGGGCAATAATATCGACCTCACAGAGCTGGTTTGAATATTTAATGAGATGAGATGGGGAAAGTCCTTAGTATGGAGAGATATGCAGTAAATGCTCTAGAAGTAGAAGCTGTTATTCTTTGTGATATTTGATGACCACAATGTAAAAATGAGCTTGTAGAAGTGTGGTGAAGACGTTGAAAGGCTTAGAAAAGAAGAGAGTTGTAGAAAAATGGTTTTACATAGTTGAAAATGGAGGCAGAGAAATGAGAGGAGGAGAAACCTGGTTCAAATTGAAACAAGCTCATTGCTGGTTTTTTGCAAGGGTACTTGAAGTTCCAGCAACCAGCAGCTACAGTTGCTGCAGTTCCGTCTTCCGCTTCACGATGTTTCCATTGGCCAAAAATGCGCTAAGTCGACTCCCAGTTCGAAGCATTCAGCAAAAAATGTCAAGGCAGATGCACCAGAAACAGGCACCCGACTTCCATGACAAATATGGTGATCTTGTATTAGCTAGTGAAGCCACTTTCTGTATTGCTGCATGGGCACATACAGCAATGCAAATTGGAATAGAATGGAACCTGTAGCCTGTTGGCAGAGTCACCCCAAAGGAATGGAGAGATTAGTAATCATCCCAGCTGGTGTAATAAAGAATTGTTTCAAAACCAACTCATAATTGATGCCAAGTGAAAGCACTGTGTACCCATTAAAATATGACATGATTGGAGAAATAAAGTACATTTGAAACTTGAAAAAAAAAAAAGAGCTCATTGCTTCAGGCAGGGTAGAACAGTGGCTAAGAGTGTGTGTTCTGTTACTAGATGCCTAGCACTGGGCAAGTGACCTCTCCTGTTGAGCCTCTGCTTAGAAAAGTAGGATTTGCTAATAGTGTCAAAACCTCGTAGGGTTGATCAGAGAACTTTGAGACATGAAGTCTTGGCACAGAGTAAAATCATCAGTGGTTGTTAATTACTATTCAGGTCTCATGGTGCTCACTTCCTGGAAATATCCATGTGATTCAACTTCCAAGGCTGGAAGGAATAATGCTCACAAAGGATTAGGAAGAGACTTAGTCATGTTGAATAGAGAATAAAACAGTCTTCAAACATGAGGCCTTTCACCAAGGATCTTTACTGGAGGGCACAATGTAAGGAGAAAGCTGTAGGGTAGATGCTTTTATAGAGGCACTATTGAGTCTTAACAGTACTTCTTGGTGTCCAGGTCCTTGTGCTCCTTGTTGTATGGGGCCTTTGAAAAGCAGATGGCAGCATTGCGGTCACAGTTGCAGATAAAGGCCTGGCAGGGTTTATTTTTGCCTGGAAAAGAGCAAGAGGAGAGGACTGAGCCAAGGTGGATCCGGCTTTGTACAACCCAGGGGCAGGAAAAATTAACTGTAATAATTCAGTGGCCATTCCATCGGTGCAAATTTAGGGCTGACAAATTACACAATTAAAATATCAGAATTTCAGATAAAGAGTGAATGCAATGTTTGGGACATAGACTAAAAAAATTGTTCGTTGTCTATCTGAATGAGAGAGAGAGAGAGAGACATTGGTTTGTTTTTCACTTATTTATGCATTAATTGGTTGATTCTTGTATGTGCCCTGGCCAGGGATAAAAACTGCAACTGTGGAATATGAGGATGATGCTATAACCAACTGAGCTACCTGGCCAGGGCTGGATCCTACTTTCTATTGCAGAGATAGAAAATAAAGAAGAAACTTGCCCTGGCCGGTTTGGCTCAGCGGTTAGAGCATCCGCCTGCGGTCCGGAGAGACCCGGGTTCGGTTCCCGCTAAGGGCATGTACCTCGGTTGCAGTTTGTCCCCGGCCCTGGTTGGTCGTGCGGGTGGCAGCCACTCGATGTGTCCCTTTCACATCGATGTTTCTCTCTCTCTCTCTCTATCTCTCTCTCTCTCTTTCTCTTCCTCTCTCTCCCTCCCACTCCATCTGTGCAAAAAATGGAAAAATGTCCTCGGGTGAGGATAAAAAAAAAAAAAAGGAGAAGAAGAAGAAACTTAACTATATCAGATTTTGATAAATGTTTTGGAGAAAATAAAGCAGAGAGAAAAGATAGAGAATGGTGGAGAGATGGAGGGAGTATGTATGTGATTTAAAAGAATGTGGTGAGTCCAGCCAGTGTGGCTCAGTGGTTGAGCATTGACCCATGCACCAAGAGGTTGCCTGTTCAATTTCCAGTCAGGGCACATGCCCAGGTTGTGGGCCCAATCCCCAGTGGGGGGCATGCAGGAGGCGGCCAATCGATGTTCTCTCTCATAGATGTTTCCATCTCTCTCTCTCTCTCTCTCTCTCTCTCTCTCTCCCTGCCTTCCTCTCTCTCTAATAATAAAGCAGAGAGAGAGAGAGAGAGAATGTGGTGAGGGAAGACCTCACTGAGAAAGTGACTGAAGAATGACCTAGAATGAGGGTGTGACCCACAGCTGGGAAGTATTTCATGCAGAAGGAACGAAGGATTTGGGGTGAGGGTTAGGGGCATGTGGCTAGCCACAATTCAAATGATATAAACCTTATTCCAAGGGGAAGAGCAAAAATGAACATGGAGTCATGACGCTGTTAATTTCTTATGGTGGTAGGATTCTGGATAACTTTTGTCTTGGCACTTCTGGACTTGAATAATGGTTATTCTGATGTTGTTTGTACAGTTGCAACAATATCTTTCATTTCTCTGACTTGTCTGCTCTTCAGAACTGCCTTCAATGAGGGACGCATTTCACCGTGAGTGCTGCATAGCTTACTGGTCAAAACCAGAGACTTTGCAATTAGAAGCAATTGAGTTCAAATGCTGGCCCTGTCACTCATAAGCTCTGTGATTTGAGGCAAGTGACTATTTCTGAGCCTCAGCTTCCTAACCTGGAAAATGGGGTTAATAAAACCTACCTCACACACACTCCTCATCTAGTACCTGACATGTAATAAGAACCTAATAAATGCTAGACCTGAGCTCTTTTTATGAAATAATAAAGCAGTATAACATGGCAATTAAGAGCAGAGGCTTTGGAGTCATACAGACCTGTGTTCAAAAACCAAACACCACCATTTACGAGTTGTGTGCCCTTGGGCAAATGGCTCAGTCAGCCTCCTGAGCCTTAGTTTCCTCATCTGTAAAGTGGGGATGATAATGGTACACTTCCTGGCACCAAGAAAAATGATCAATAAATGGTAGCTATTATTAATATTATGTCCCCTCCTGCCTACTGAGGGCCTGCAAGCCAACAAGGGGGTAAACATACTGTTGCAGGTAATCTCTGAGCCAGAGCACGAGTATGAGTAGCTTTTGGTGTAAGGGTTGTCCAGAAGGAATTTGCAGCTTTCTTGCTTCTTGGCTTGCTCGTAGCATCGGTCGTGTGTCTGGCAGCACCTGCGGAGGGGAGCAAACAGAGCTGAGGCAGGAGCAGATGCCAGGGCAGCAGGGCAGCCTGCACCTGCAATGTCAGGAACAGGTGGGGACGTTTTAGCTGACATGCTCCGGGAGATTTTGATTTTGTGGCTTGAAGAAATTTAAGTCCTCTTATCATGTTTATTGAAGGCGATTTAAAAAATGGTTGCAGGAATACTGTGCGATTGTATCTATTCTGAAGATGACCATGGGGGTCGTTGCTGTGATGTTTTGTGTTGCAATGTTCTGCCAGTAGAGGGCAGCAGCACTCACTACCTCACATTTGCGACGGTCCGCTTTCCACTCCAATTAGAGAGCTTTGGATTCAGTCCTCTTGGAACACGTTTACATGACAAGAGGTGAAAATATGTTATCCTTAGCAAATGTACAAATCCCCTTTCTGAGCCTCCTCCTAAAATCCTTGGCTTGTGCCATACCCCCTTCCTCTCCCCCCCAGCCCTCCACTCTCTGCAGATCTCACTCACTTGTCCAGTTCATCCACAGGGGTACCGGATCCACCCAGGCCACAGTAGCAGCCGTAGTTGTTGTAATCTTTCAGGGGGTCGCTGTCGGGGATCGTGCACTTGATCATGTTGCGGAACTGCCACACTGCCCGCGTGTTAAAGCCGCCCTCCGCGGCACACGCTGCAAGAAGACACAGCCAGAGTTCAGATTGGTCCTGGTTGGCTCTGCCAGTGTCCCAGGGCCCCCACTGCCTGCCTGCTCTCTCAGGCCTCACGCTGACCCCTCTGACCGCCAGCAGCTGCCTCCTAGGAGGAGAGCTGGACACAGAAACCTGGCAAGTGACTATGGACTTTTTTTTTTTTTTTTAATCCTCACCCGAGGAAGGACATTTTTGCATTTATCTTCAGATAGAGCGGGAGGGAGAAAGAGAGAGAGAGAAACATAGATGTGAGAAAGACACATTGACTGGTTGCCTCCCACATGACCCCAACCCGGCTGGGGACAAACTGCAACCAAGGTTATGTGCCTTAAGGGAACCGAACCTGGGACTCCGGTCTGCGGGCCAATGCTCTAACCGCTGAGCCAAACCAGCCAGGGCACCTATGGACTTTTTGGTGAAAAGTTTAAAAATTTAAATCCACGTACCAGGCAGGTAGCTCATTTGGTTAGAGTATTATCCTCATATGCTAAGGTTGCGATTTCCATCCCTGGTCAGGGTACATACAAGAATCAACCAATAAATGCATAAATAAGTGGAACAAAAAAATTGATGTTTCTTTCTCTCTCTTTCAACATACAAATCACTATTTTAAGCCACTTAAAGTATACAATTCAGTGGGGTTTTTTTTTTTGTTTTTTTTTTCTTGGTATGTGCCCCTGGCGGGAACCGAACCCGAGACTCTCTGGTATGCAGGCCAACGCTCCAGCCGCTGAGCCAAACCGGCCAGGGCCAATTCAGTGGTTTTTAATAAGTGCACAGAGTTGTGCAAATATCACCACTAATTCCAGAACATTTTTATCATCCCCAAAAGAACACCCTGTATCAATTACCGAAAGCTTCTCTTTCCCCTGCACCCTTCTGGTAACCACGGTTCTGCTTTCTGTCTCTATGGATTTGCCTATTCTGAACACTTCATAGAAATGGAATCATACCATATGTGACCTCTTGTGACTGGTTTCTTTCACTTAGCATCATGCTTTTGATGTTCATTTGTGTTATAACATGTATTAGTACTTCTTTCCCTTTCATAGCCGAATTATATTGCACTGTACAGATAGGCCACATTTTGTTCACTCATCAGTTGATGGACATTTGGAGTGTTTCCACTTTTGCATTATTCTAAATAGTGCTGCTATTAACCTTTGTGTACTAGTTTTTGTGTGAATGTATGTTTTCAATGGGGATGGTTTTAAACTATCTCCACTATTTATTCAACAAACATCGAGTGAGCACCAACGATGGGCCAGTGACTGACCTAGGAGCTTGAGATACATCAGTGAACAGATAAAAAATCTGTAACCTCAATGAGCTTAGATACTAGTGGGGAAGAAAACCAATAAGCAATAAATGTTAAAAAAAAAAAAAGGAGATCAGATATTGTGTTAGAGGGTGGAAAAAATGGAGCAGGGTAAGAAGAATCTAAAATAGGGGGGTGAAAGTGGGGGGTTGAGGTGGAGCAAGAGTGTAAGGAATAGTGAGGAGGCCTTTGTCGCCTCCCATCCTCCACAGGACAACCTCTTTTTCTGCCTCAAGGCCCATGCACCTGCTGTACCCTCCGCCTGGCACACTTGTTATCTCACTTTTCAAAAGTCTGGAAGATCTTGGTTTATTTATTTATTTGCACCCAAGGACATTTTTTCATTTTTTGTTCAGATAGAGCAGGAGGGAGAGAGAGGAAGAGAGAGAAACATCGACATGAAAGGGACACATCGAGTGGCTGCCACCCCCACAACCCAACCACAGGGCTGGGGACAAACTACAATCGAGGTACGTGCCCTTAGTGGGAATCAAACCCAGGTCTCTCTGGACTGCAGGCCAACGCTCTAACCGTTGAGCCAAACCAGCCAGGGCTGGAAGATCTTCTTTTAAAAGGCACCTTCTCAAAAAGGCCCTTCCTGACCATCCAAGCTAAGTGGCTTCTCTGCTATCACTTTTCTTCCTGTTCTTTGTTTCAGAGTACCTCCCACAATCTATTTACTTAATGCTTCCTTCTCATAGGACCAGAAGCTCAAGGAAGGAAGGGAAAAGCTAAAAAAAAAAAAAAGTTTTAAAAGTCTGCCTCTGGCCGAGTGTTTGCCCAAACCAAGCACATGGTTTGCTATCCCAGATGCAGGGAAGCAGGGTCCCTTCACCCCATTTGTGGAGCCTTACCCTGTGAGATTTGGTGTCCTAAAGAGAAGATGGCATGAAATGATTTTGGGGTCCCATTTCAGTCAACCACTACTGTTGCCTCTTTGCCCTCTGCCTTGCCCTTCCTTTCCTTGGTCTGTGACGCTGGAGTGGTTCCATGTGCTCAAACCCCAGGGTAAAGGAAGGGTGGCAGCGGGTCACTTTCCCCTACACACAGCCTGCATGCGGCAGCCAACAGAGGCTGTGTCCAGGAGCAGAGACCTGGAGCCTGCTCAGACGGGAGTGGCCTAGCTATGATGGCCCGTCTCCAGACCCCGCTCCTGCTTCCCTGCTTTCTCTCTCTGATCCCACCAGCTCTGTCTTTGCAGAGGCCAGACCTGCATAAAGCGACTATGTGTGTGTTCCTCGGACAGAGAGCATGGCCGATTCATCTTAGTTTCCAGTCTCAACCCGGAGCCTGATACCTTGGTGGCTCTGATACCATCAGTGTTGAATGAATGAATGAACGATGGATGAATAGGGTGGGATTTGAATCCCAATGTATCTGATTCCATTTATTCATTCAATCGGTGGTGCAAACAGCACTGTCTCTGCTCTCCTGGAGCCCATGTGGGTGGGGGTGGGGTAAAGAAAAGAATCAACGAGATACAAATTGCAAACAAAGGTGGGTTCTGGGAAGATGGGACCTTGTACCCGGATGGGCAGGATGGGTGGGCCTTTTTGAGAGGGGATATCTGAGTTCAGATCTGAAGTTTGAAAGGTGCAAGCTGGGGGAGGGGGTGGCGGAATTTGAGGGAATCCCAATATGGGAGCTTTTAAGCCCCACAGGGAGCTCTGAATAAAGACTCCAGGTCTGGCCAGCCTGTGACCTGTAGCCCCCATTCCAGAGGAGTGAGATCTTAGCCCAAGTGGATGGAGCTGGAAGGACTCGCCTACCTGTGAGCAGAACGGCCAGCACGAGGAGTTTCATCCTGTCCTGAAGTGGGTGAGTGAGAAAGGACTGACAGCAACTGAGGCCTCCCTCCTTATAGTCACTCTGAGGCCCCAAGATAAGGTGTAGTGTTTGCTTTGCTCCCTGCCGACTTTGGGTTGTCCTTGAGTCTGTCTGCTTTGGGTGACGGGACAAGGAAGCTCTGCCAGCGAGGTCATGGAAGAAGTGTATGTGTTGGTCATCAACACTTTGTAACAAAAGGGGTTATTTCTGGAGTCACACAGCTTGGGATCTTGACCCTCATACCTACCCCTTGGCACTCAGCCCAGCTTCATTGTTGGGGGGTCGAACAACTTGGAGAAGGAGGACAGGGGGGAAATGTCCACTGCCTCCATATCTTCTCACGTGCCTGGTTCTGAGCTGTGGGGCCCGTTGAATGGCGCCATCAATCACACACTTTGCAGGTGAGGAAACCGGTCCAGAGAGGTGAAGTAATTTGCTCCAGGTCACACAGCTAGCAAATGGCAGCGTGGGGACTCAAACTTAGTTATGTTTGATTCTAAGGCACATGTTTTATTCCCCACTCCCACTATATCAATACCAGCCTCCTCCCACATTTTCCACTGTGAGTTTGTAAGAAAAACCCCAAAGAAACCCCCCAAAGACTTATAGAATAAAAAAGGGGTTTCAGAACTATCGTATCAAATGTCTATATAACATTGGCGGGGGGGTGTGAAATTCACACAGCATAAAATTAACCGTTTTATTTTTTATTTTTTGGCACGTGCCCCTAGTGGGAACTGAACCTGGGACTCTCTGGTCTGCAGGCCGTGGCTCCAACCGCTGAGCCAAACCGGCCAGTGCTAACCATTCTATTTTTAAAGTGAATAATTCAGCAGCATTGAGTACGTTCATGGTGTGGGGCAACAATCACCTCGGTCTAGTTCCGGAACATTTTTATCCTCCCCAGGCAACCACAATCTGCTTTTTGCCTCTATTGATTTACTGATTCTGGATATTTCACATAATGTGTCATATTTTATCATTGGTTTACTTGCTGTTTTCCCACTGAATTCCCATGTGATCTCTGCAGCGGCCCTGTGTTATTTTATTTATCTGTTCATTTACTTATTTTTCTTGAGCAGAATTCCCACATACCCTCCAACTTACCCTCCCCCTTCCTCCTCATAGTTTCACCTATTAATATCTTATCTCAGTGTGGTACATTTGTTATGATTAGTGAACTAATATTGATATATTATTATTATCAAGTGTAGTATTAATAAACTTAAACCCATGGCTTATTTGTGTTTCCTTAGCTTTCACAAAATGTTTTCTTTCCTGTTCCAGTATCCAATCCAAGATAGCATGTTTCCATCGGCCCCGCTTGGCCTGTGGCAGTTTCTCAGACTCCCTTGTCGCTGATGACCTTGACAGCCTGAGGACAGTCAGGTGTTGCAGAGAGACCCCTCTATTGGAAAGTGCCTGATGTTCGACTCATGATTAGGCTGGGGGGTGGGTATGGGTTTCGGGGAGGTAGGTGACCGAGGTAAAGTGCTATTTGCTATTTTCATCACCTGGCCACTTTACGTCGAATCATCTCTTAGCCTGGATGCACCTAGGCCACTTTCCAGATGAGGACACGGAGGCTCGGCTGAGGTAGAACCAGAAACGGCCGTGTCTAGACCTGAACCCAAACCTGCCACATCCCACTGAACCATTTCTCTCCATCCTGGATGAGGTTATATGGTGTGTGCATCAGCGCAGAGTCACGGGCCTAATCCTAACCCTGTGGCCTCTGCTCACTTGCTCCAGGACTCCATCTCTGTACTTTTCCCTTGAACATGCACCAGGGTCGAGAAAGAAGAAAAACGTCTGGAACGGCTTCCCTTTTTCATCTCAAGGCCACGAGTCCCAGGGAAGGTCCTTCAGTAACGAGGCAACACCAAACAGCATTTAGTAAGCAGATGGGGAAACTGAGGCCCTGAAAGGGGAAGCAATTGATTTGCTTAGGCCTGATTCTGCCCCCATTTGACCCATGTTTTTCTCATTTTTATCCCCCTGTCTCTACATCTGTCCAGTATGGCAGCCATTAGCCACAAGGGGCTATTTCAATTCATTGCAATCAGATAATATTAAAAATGCTTTCTCGGTTACACTAGCCGCATTCCAAGCGTTCAGTAGCTACCTGTATGTGGCTAGTGGCTGTTGTAGTGGACAGCACAGGTATAGAATGTTTTCATCATCACAGAAGGTTGTATTGGACAGCGGTTCAGGATGTCACAGAGCCTGTCTCGGTGCCAGCGCAGAGGCGATGGGGGCTGTGAGGGTCACTGGAGGGAGAGTAGGCGAGCTCAGAATCCCACATCAGCTGATGAATGGTTCTACCCTCCAGCCTCCCGAATGAGCGAAGGCTGCCCCAGGAACGGGAAGGCTTGGCTGGCAAAATGCTAAGTTCCTCTTATGTGGGTCCTTTGGGGTCAGAATGAAACAGGACCACGCACTGCTCTTCTTGGGGACGGTGTGAGAAAGAAGGCTTAGCTCCTGCTACAAAATCCTCTAAGGCTAACAGTATTAACTACCATTGTAACTGAATGCTAACTTGATTTCAGGTCCCATGTTAAGAACTTGGCACAAACCTCTGAGGTAGGTCCAATTGCAAACTCTATTTTACAGAGATGATGACTGAGGCTCAGAGAGGTTACGGAACTCGCCCAGATGTCACACAGCAGGACCAACACATGAGCTGGATCTGATCATACGACAATACCACCTCATGACAAGGAATTGTAGCAGTGAGTGGGCGCTTGGAAAGTCCCTGGAGGCCAGAGGAGGTTTAGTCTTGTCCACTTCCCTCCTTCTCTCCCCATCCCCCAGCCAGCTGGAGGCTTTCCGTAAAGGCAGGCTGCACAAATTCCCACATTTGACTGGAGCTGGGGCTTAGGCAGAGCACCTGGTGGGGGGAGGGTCAGGCTGCTACTAGAACTTTCTCCTCCTGGAAAGAGACCTGCGAAATGTGACAATCCGAAGCTCTGCAGGGGACACAGAGGTGGCAGAGGAATGGACCCAGCAGATCACTGGGGAGCCCACCAAGCCCCTACACTCCTTGTACCGTGACCTTCTGCTACCCCAGATTCCAAGCACAGGTGTGTGTGGCAAAGCCCCTCCCAGCCTGGGAAAAACACACTCTCCAGTGGAAAAAATAGCTCCTCGGCTCCTTCAGGTGACAGCATACCCACACCAGCAAGGTCATGCTGACGCAGCCTCTAGAAGACAAGACTCTTGCTTCCAGGAAAAGCTTAGAAGCAGCTACCATTTGGTGAGTGCTTCTATATGCTTGGCACTATGCTAAGGGCCTCAGATACGTTGGTTTTCAGCCTAACCACAGTCTTCTGGAATAGCTATTCCTGTTTCATCATCTTCCCCTTTTTACAGATGATAAAACAAGTTCAGAGAGCTTAAGTAAGTTGCTTCAAGTCACACAGCTTGGCCCTGGCCAGTTCGGCTCAGCAGTCAGAGCGCCGGCCCTTGGACCAAAGGGTCTCAGGTTCGATTTCCGGTCAAGGGCATGTACCTGGGTTCCAGGTTATGTGCCTCTGACTAGGAATCAGCAGGTCAGTGTGCTAACCGCTGAGCAAAACCGGTCAGGGCTTTGCATGATTCTGTATCCTGCAACTTTGCTGAATTCTTTTATTAGTTCTGTGTGTGTGGAATATATATATATTTTTTTTACATATAAGACTATGTCATCTGCAAACAGATAATTTTACTTCCTCCTTTCCAATTTGGATAGCTTTTATTTTTTTCTGGCCTAATTACTCTGGGTAAGACTTCCAATACTATGTTGAATTGAAGTGGCCGGACTGGGTATCCTTGCCTTGCTTCTGACCTGAGAGAAAAGGCTTTCAGTAGGAATTTTATTTATTTATTTTTTAAATATTTTTTCTTTCTTGATTTAGACAGAGAGGAAGGGAGAGGGAGAGAGAGGTAGAAACATCGATGAGAGAGAACATCGATTGATTGGCAGCCTCCTGCATGCCCCCCACAGGGGATTGGGCCCACAACCTGGGCATGTGCCCTGAATGGGAATCGAACTGGCGACCTCTTCTTGGTGCATGGGTCAACACTCAACCACTGAGCCACACCAGCCAGGCTCAGTAGGAATTAAAAAAAAAAAGTGCCCTGGCTGGTTTGCTCAGTGGTTAGAGCGTTGGACTGTGGTCCAGAGACCCCAGGTTTGGTTCCCGCTAAGGACACCTCGGTTGCAGGTTGTCCCCAGCCCTGGTTGGGTCGTGCGGGTGGCAGCCACTCGATGTGTCCCTTTCACGTCGATGTTTCTCTCTCTCTCTCTCTCCCTCCCACTCTATCTGAACAAAATATGGAAAAATGTCCTCAGGTGAGGATTAAAAAAAATAATAATAATTATATATATAGATAGATAGATAGATAGATAGATATAGATATATATGACTGCAGCTCTGGCTGGTTTGGCTCAGTGGTTAGAGTGTTGGCCTGCAGACCAGGCTTTGGTTCCCACTAAGGGCATGTACCTTGGTTGCAGTTCATCCCCGGCCCTGGTTGGGGTCATGTGGGTGGCAACCACTCGATGTATCTCTCTCACATCGATGTTTCTCTCTCCTTCCAGCTCTATCTGAAGATAAATGCAAAAGTGTCCTGAGTGAGGATAAAAAAAAAAAAAAAAAAGACTGCAACGCCATGATCATACCTAACAAAAATAAGACCATTTTCAGAGGCCTTTGTCTCAAAACGTCTTTTTTAGTTTTTTCAAATCATATCCAAATAAGCTACATGTTGTTTTTCTTTTTTTAAATCATCACCCAGGGACAGGTTTTATTGATTTTTAGAGAGGAAGGGAGAGGGAGGGAGAGAGAGAGGGAAATATCGAGAGAGAAACATAGATCGGTTGCCTCCCATATTGAGAACCGAACCTGCAACCTGGGTATGTGCCCTGACCGGCAATCGAACCTGAGATCTTTCAGTGTAGAGGATGGTGCTCCAACCAACTGAGCCCCCTGGCC